AAAAATAGAATTAAAAGATTTACACTTCAGATCATTTTGTTCTAAAGGCATTGAACGCACTCATCGCTTGCACTGACATTCAACGTTCGTTAAGTTTATGATGACAGCTACATTTGAAGTGCACTTACATGTAAATCTTTTAATTCTTTTTTTTAAGCAAACCGCTCACTTTTCGGTGCAGATATTTTATTCATAAGTTAGTTAGATCCGAACAAACTGTGCTTTTGACCGGCGCAAGATAGCGGTGGCGCCTATTCGCAATTCGCGGAATTTTTAAGAACTATCAATACTTGTTGTTGTTGTCATGAATTTCGCAACAACAAGAAGTATTGATAGTTCCTTAAGTTGCCGCAGATCCTATTTAGGCGCTACCGCTATTCACTGTCACGTCAAATACATTGGTTCTTATGGGAGAGAAGCACAGGTTGGATCCGAATGAAGATTTAATACAAATTTATGCGATACTGGTGCAAAAAAAGTATACTTTTTCGCGTAGCGCGGATAAAGCCGCAAATAAAGCGATCCGCCCAATTTCATTGAAACAAGTGGTACATTTCTGTTAGAGTATTGTGGGAAGATGTTAATTTTATGAATTTCTGCAGTGCACAAAAAGTTGTTTGTACGGTGGGCTCTTGGTCTAACAAGGCCGTTTTGAAGTTATGTGGTCGAAAAAATCGGAAAATGTGGCTTTTCCTTGAACTTATAATTTCCAAACGGCTGAAAAATTTGGGAAAGTGTCTTCGGAAAAGATCTTAAACAAATGATAAATGAACAACATTGCTGAACACATCATCCCCAAAAAACCACCCCCTTGGGCTGTAGGGAGGCTTAAAAACTCTAATTTTTGGGGTGACTTTTGGCAATATGTAAATTCGAAAAAGAGTACCGACAACAAACCAAAGGTCATGCAGCATGGTGATGTGCGCACGGCATACGAAACAGAACAGACTAAACTGTTCGCAAACTTCTTCAGTAGCAACTACGATGACTCAACGACTCAAAGCGTTTAAAAATCGCCTACCGATGAGTCACAGCAAACTGAGGAATTTCAGCTCAACATGAATTTTATGCTTGAAGAGCTACAAGCCGTAAACACCAAGAAAGGTACGGGTCCCGATGGTATGCACCCGTTGAAACTGAAAAACTATGCGAGTCATTTGGCGGCTCCACTCACCGAGATTTTCAACGAATCATTGTCACATGGCCATTTCCCTGACAAATGGAAGCGCTCGAGTGTATCAACCATCTTCAAAAAGGGGTCGAGATCGAAAATTGAAAACTATCGTTGCATTGCTAAGCTCCAAACTGTGGCGAAGTTCTTCGAGCACTTAGTGAACGTCAAATTTCTGTCACTGGTACACGTCCGGTGATTGTGCCCATTGCATAGCAGTGCCGTGCGTTGTTTGCTGTGTTCTGCCTTGTTTGTGTTTGCTCTGCTATGCTTCAGATGACAAGATACAATCATACAGAGACAATATTTCAAAATCACAAACTATTAGACGCGGTATAATCCAGGGTGAAAATAATTCACAATTGCTTTTTTCGGTTTTTATTAATAACATCACTAATGCTGATTCCAAGTGCTCAAACTTTAATTAAAGTTGAAAGTCATAATTTTTGCTAGTGGATATTTTTGAAATTTTTCGTTGCTATGAAAATTGTTGGGCCCAATAATGATGTTTTGCATCAAAACATCCGGAGGTTTCATTATTTTTTGAATTTTTTCTGAGATTCTTCGTTAAAGTTCGAACTTTAATTAAAGTGCGAACTTTAAAATTTTCTAAATCGAAAAAAATCCAAAAAATAGTTAAATTCATTCCTGACGGCTTTTGCGCCAGATCATCATTAATTGTCCTAATTCATTCCATTCTATCAATAAAACCGCCCAAAAATGCGAAAAAACGAAAAAAAAAATTTAAAGTTCGCACTTTAATTAAAGTTCGAACTTTAACGAAGAATCTAAAAAAAAACCAAAAAATTAATGAAACCTTCGGATGTTTTGATGCAAAACATCATTATTGGGCTCAACAATTTTCATAGCAACGAAAAATTTCAAAAATATCCACTAGCAAAAATTTTGACTTTGAACTTTAATTAAAGTTTGAGCACTTGGAATCAGCATAATTACATCAAAACCTGCAAAAAAATCCTATTTGCCGATGATGTACAGGTTTATTTGAAATGTGATGTTGAAAACATTAATGATGGCATACATATAGTTAACGATGAAATGAAGAACATCGAACAATTTTGCAAAGATTATGGCATTGATATCAATGCAAGTAAATCGCAGGCAATGATAATATCTTCTAAAAATAACGTTCATAAACTATACTATGTTACATTGCCAAAAATTTGTATTGGTGGTAATAACATAGAGTATGTTGATAACGTTCGTGACTTGGGTTTTCAGCTCAACAGAACCTTATCAAATGACAATCATGTTAAAATTCTTCAAAAAAAGATCATGGGAGCGCTTAATACAATTGCCCCATTAAAAATGATCTTGCCACCAGAAAACAAACTTCAGTTATACAAGTCATTAATTCTTCCAATTTTAGACTATATGGATATAATATATCATAATTATGGAGTTCACGGATCAATTGGTAATGACGAAAAATTGGAAAGATTGCAAAATATTTGTATAAGATTTATTTCAAATGTAAGTCGACATGAACATATAACACAACACCGTAACTCATTGCAACTTATGGCATTATCTGATCGTCGTACATTACATCTGGGCAGTATGATAAATAAAATAATAAATGAGGAAACACCAACATATTTAAACAATATTTTAACGATCAACACTAATAATACTCGTTCAAATAATAAGTTAATTATAAAGAAACCTTCCTATAATTTTCATAAGACATCTTTGAGCATTAGTGGCCCTACATTATGGAATCAAATTCCCGACGAAATTCGCAATATTGAGAAGAAAAAACAATTTATGAATAGATTTAAAATACATCTTGAAAATGAAAAATAAATTTTTAAGCCAAAGTAACAATGATAAATGGCCTTCATGGCAGCATGTATTTGTGTTTACACTTAGCCGTAGTTGAAGTTGTGGCGTTAGTTATGCAACATCATTCTAACAAGCACCGGACGCTGTTACATGACAAAATCACCAAAAAGCAACACGGCTTTATGAATTCCAGATTCACTGCATCTAATCTCACCGAATTCACCTACTATGCCCAGAGAGAATGTTCCAAGAAATGAACAAAGCCAAGTTTTTAAAATAAAGTATTTACAAATTGTTATCTTACATCCTTACTAAATGTATAGAATTAATGATACATAACAGCTATCACCGTAACTATTTTTTTCAATACTCATTTCGTATAGTTTTATTGAATTTTAAACTATATTTGGTCGTCTATAATCATTAACCCTCTAATGCATTAATTTTTTCCAGGGCTGGGAGTACTGGTACTTAGTTGATTTTTGGCCATAGATAATTTTAAAAATATTCATAATCCTGGATTTCTCATGGTTTAGTCACGAAATGTGATCGACATAAATCAGAGAACAATCAAATCCATTGTTTAAAAGTGTCAAAAATGTGTCTAATTTGGAGTTCGAATAATTTATTTTGTTTATAACAATTTTGTAAAGTTATAAAATCACACTACATGGACAAATTTTGCCAAATACAAAAATAAAGAGAAAACATTGACCAATAAAAATTCCCTCTGAAGTAATGTGATCAGATGTACGGTTTACGTAAATATACATGTTCTCGAAAAAATGACAAATTCATCCAAAAGACTCCAAAAACATCTATGGACAAAATGTTTATTTAAAGTGACAAATCCATCTAAAATACTCTAAAAAATCACAAATTCATATAATATTTTCATTCTGAAAAAATCGCCTGAAATAGCCAAAAACGACAATGAACAATAGTGTGCAAATATCTTGAGTAACCAGTTCGATTTGTTTGCCGCTTAATACAACCGCATACAGCTTACCAGTAAACATCCCATACTGTTACACGCCGATTTTCAAATGTCCATGCGCGTTCGAAAGGGCATCCCTCAAAACCCCCAAAAACAAAATATTACGATCCCATATTCATATTTGGGGTAGTTATGGGGGTATGTTTATTTTGGGGCTGAAAATCGTGGTTTTTACATGTCAATGCACTTTTTTCATACTAGAAATGGTTTGGGAACAGTAGTTTGTTGATATGAAATGTTCATTATACTCTAGAGAATCAAATGACACTTTGGGCGGACCTGCCCTCCATCCCTGTGACGCGGGGTAGGGTCAAAGAGTGCAAAAATAGCGAAAAATGACCAACATATCCCCAAAATACAGTCCAAACCCCTCTTTTACACCCAAAATAATTGCATTTTTGGGTTCCTCGTAAAAAATAAGCCCTAGGCTATGAACACTTTTTTCCCGAAAAACACTCCCTTCTGCCCTGAATTCGCCTTTGAAAGTTAAAAAAACTCACCCCCAACACTTTCGACGCATTTTTCACCCCTTAAAACTCAAATGGGCAAATAGGTTATATCCCACGAAAGTTGCGTCTGGTCCCATAGATTTCATTGGCACATAGTGTTGGCCCCCCATGTTGCCCCAGTTCGAAGGGCAGGGTTCAAAAAGTGAAAAAAGTACAAAAACTACCCCAAAGTGGGTAAACCCCACTCCGCATCCCCAAAATAATTACATTTTTGAATTCTTCGTCGAAAATTAGTTATACCTCCAGAACATCAGTTTTTGATAAAACCCCTCACTGCGGCCCAAATCCATCTCTGCACAGAAATTGTGATGCATTGCACACGAAATTGTGATGCATTGCGCTACTCACAGGGTTCACTCTGTGCGATTCTTAAGCCCTGAAGAAAACAAAGTAGAACACGAATTTGCGATGAGCTCATTCAGTGAAGTTTATTTCATTTCGTTTACTCGTTAGACGCACTCATGAACACGACTGAATGAACTCATTAACAATGTTCTGTAATAAAAAACAATTTTTTTACTTATAAAATTGATGTTTATTATCTGCTACGCACTCACAAAAATCGATTTTGCACATTTTTCTGTCTACTTTATTAACAAATATAAAAAAGATGCAATAGTTTGCAGTGAAAATTGAACGATCTGAGTCACAACTTTTGACACTTGTTTCGCAGCGCTAGAAGTGAGCTGTCAGACGCTTATATGCAGTACCTGTGGTTCATAAATAAAATTTTCACACTATTCGAGAACAACTATTGAATATGAATTCTAAACTATTTACATATGTGTCGCTGAGCATAAAAATGGGAATACAGATCTGTTACAGCAACAAATGAATATAAAATATTGTTCCCTAAAAACTTTACATGAATTTCCATCTAACGCGAGTGTAACATGAGTTGCATTAGAAACAGTATTAGCTCATGTTACTCTCGCGTTTGATAGAAATTCATGTAACGTTTTTAGGGAACAATATTTTATGTTGGGTTGTTGCTGTAACAGATCTGTATACCCATTTTTATGCTCAGCGACACATATGTATTACACTAATTGTATAAACATGAAAAGATCAGGTTTTTGGAGTCATTTTCCTGCAAAAACAAAAACATTCACCAAGAATTCATCGGTGTATCTAAAATACTAATATACTAAAATGTCGGTTTCAATGACAGCCAAAGTCATCACTAATTAAATCAACAATAAAAAAAAATGAAGAAAAATATTATTTAAATTTTCTTGATTTTGGTTCTAGGGTATAACTTGACAAAAGAACAATAGGTGTATAAAACGTCAAATGAACTTTTATTTCTTTATTTTGTGATATTCCTAAAGGAACTATTTAATGGTCATTACTCCCCTTATACTTAACGAAGAAAACCTCTGGCTTCGACGGCTCTGTCGTTTCTGCTTGTGGTATTTCCAATCTGGGCAGTGGTTCTGGTTTTTTCACGAGTATATAAACGAGAGTTTTATGCTCATCTTGGGTTGGAATGACCGGTACTGTTGGTCTCGGTGGAGTTGGAGCTAAACATTATTCAAAATATATTCCATTTGTTATATTTATTTAGCACAGGCTGAATTTACGAGACAAAAAAGTGCAAAGGATAAAATTAAGATTGCAGTAATCACCGCGATAGTTCCAATGTGTATGCGTAAAACCAACAGCGCCACATATTTTGACTGCAATGTTTGACACTGCGTCTGTAACCGTGCTCTCGAATTTTGAACGAATTTTATTTTACAAATAATGATGTTGTTAGTTTAGAACTATCCCGGTGGCAGTAATGACAGCTAATATAGTATGACTAGTAGTATGGTAATTAACAGTGTATTATAACTAACGCCAACTATTGTGATTGAAGATTCGGTTCGAATTAAATGGGAATACCATGGCGATTGTACACACTGAACAAATACATATTTAAAAAATATACACAATGATTTGTATCAAAATTGAATTTAACCCCTGCATTCAAAGCCGTGACCCCTGTTTTCGATTTCTTTTGCAAAGTTTCAGAAATTTCGCTTAAACACAATCCCAATAAAAAAAACAATTCAATTTTAGGTCTTCTATGAAGGTTACCATGCACACTTTAAAATTTTGAAATCAAAATGTATTAAAATATTGTCATATCACCTTTTATAAATATGATGTTGTAATGCTTTTTTGGAATGGATTTCTTGAAAGTTTGACTTGATTGAAACTCAGGTTCATTAGGTGGAATATGAACATAAACATGTTTCGTTATCAACTGAAGATTTGGTGATGTAGCCCCATATTGATGAGATTGAGGTAATGATTCCCCATAGTCGATTTGCGAGTCATCGTATTGACCTTGTAACGCATTCGGCAAATGAGAATCTGATAAACTAGATGTTGGTGCAGCGAAGTCGTCAGTTAACAGATCAGTTTGACACATGAAAAGTGGGATACAGGATAATAAAATTACGTTCAACTGTAGAAAAAAGAAATGAAAATGAGAATTAAAATAAAAAAAAACATAAATAACATCTATTTCAATTTCAAAACTGACAATCAATGAGTTTTGCTTCATGATTTTCAAATTATGTGTTTTGGGTAGTCGCCTTGCTTATTGAACTCAATTTGAATGCACAATTTCATCCATTTATAGCAATTTTCAGTTCCCACCTTCCTATTTTCAGTTCCCAATATTGCAAGAAGTTTCACTAGTAAGTGAAACCAATGATGTAATCAACACTAATCAAAATTCAAAGAAGAAGAGTCAAAATCAATTTAAATTCAACATACACAATTTCTCATCAAAAATCAAAGCACATATTTGAAAATTCGATTCGCGAATGTTTACCTGAGATGTATGGTGTTTCGTCATTTTGTGAGGTACTTACTATTGGGTCTATGCAATAATTTCCGGCCTTTTTTATTAAAAAAAACTCATTTAATTTAATAACAAAATGAAAGTATAAGCCAATCAAAGTATTGTCCATCGAAAGCGACAACCTTCGCCTACATTTAAGTCAATTTACAGTTAACATTTCGAAAAAATACGGGACTTTTGACCCTATTAAAGAATCGTTCGATTTTTCGAATTCAAAAAAAAGCGAACCGTTCCCCATTTAGGTGATTTTGAATCGTCTGAAACATGTGGTAGGCAGAAGGCGCAATATCCAGAAAATACAGCGGTTGCAAAGCGGTCATTCGAATTTAACTGCTTCTTAAAAAATTTCAACTTTTTCGGTGAAGTCATTGAAAAATGTTGCCTTTGAGAACCAGACTTTTTTATAATGGGCAAACTTTTCAATTTTGCTGTCAGAAATTGGTATACGCCGATTAGTTATTGTTGGAAACGATCAAATCTAACATTTCTATATAATTTTACATCCGTACAACGGACCATATCTTCCCCACCATCGCATGGTGGCTCATCGATATACAATTACAGGGTGGAAAAAAATTAATTATGTTTGACTTCAGAAAAATGGCACCTACTATAAAAGATAGTATTTCAACAGTACTTTGACATGCAAGCAGCAACAATATTGCCCGATGTGATATTGTACCATTTACGCCATCTTCAAAAAAGGCCAGAAATTAACGCATAGACCCAATAGCAATATTCGAAAAAGCTGGATTATGTGAGTCTGAAAGGAACAGTGTTTCATGAGAGAAGAGAAAGAGTTGCTTTCCACTTAAAAATAGTTAAATGTTTCATATTTATTACAGGTTGTCGCTGTTTTTTTGCGGAAATGGTAAAGATAACGAAATAATGTCTTTATAATAAGCATAAGTCTCAAACCATTTGGTCCGAAAAACCGTACCTCATTTATTTTTATCAATTTTCATTTTATTTAACACCGCCAATAACTAGCTGAATATATGATTTTGTACAATAATATGACAATATATAGTTTTGTTGAAGTAGTCATTTTCATTAGGTGTAAGGTTTTGCACACAGAAAAAAATCCCCGGAAATTTTAGGTGTTCGCCGTAAAATTTGACATTTATATATAAATTTCTATATACATTTTACCGGCAACACTTCAATTTTCCGGGCGATGACATAATTTCAAATATTCCAACAGAAATTAGCGCCATCTGTCATTTCAAGCGTTAAAATATACATAGTATTTGATAAAATGATCGAAAATATGTCATTGCCCGGAAAATTGAAGTGTTGCCGGTAAATTGTATATAGAAATTTATATATAAATGTCAAATTTTACGGCGAACACCTAAAGTTTCCGGGGATTCTTTTCTGTGTGTGGTCCAACAAAGAAGAGGCGTAAATTCTTGCAGATTTTTACACCATTGTGCTTTCAAGCAGTAGTGGAGAAAGTACGTACTCAAATACACTGTACTTCAGTACTATTGATTAGGAAATAATCATGGCGGCTCCATATTATTGCAAAAAGCACAAATGGTATAAAGCCTTCACACGTTCTTTTGACACAAAATAACCTAACCCATAAATGGAAATCGCAGATATTCGTTTTTGGACCAATCGCTTAGACGCGATTAGACCGGCGTTGGAAAGGTGGTGAGGTTGAGCTTCTTCTGGGCCCTCCAGATTACCCCCTGGGTACCCCTTCGTGGGATATGGGTTTGGATTTGAAAATTTAATGAAATTTTGCAACCACTATATTTCTGAGTAGAATATACTTTAGGCTTCTTGGGTATGGTTTTTTCGACTATTTGGGCCAAGACCTTTCCAACGGTACCTAGCATGCCGGGGCTCAAATAGTGTTCTGGGAAAATAGCATACTTACTGTATATATAGTCGTGACGCAAAAATTGACATTTTTGACATTTGGCTTGGCGTCAGTTGTCGGACTACCGTCCTCCGTGATATTTGACAATCATTTTTGAAAAAAAAAATCATTTTATTGCCACCGCCAAAAGCTGGCTGAAGAAGTTGTTTGGCCATCGTGTGTTTTCTTGTTGCTTCGGGATGGGAATATTTATTTATTTCACACCGCCAAAAACTGGCTGAATATTTTGGTTTGCAGGAAAACGACTCCAAGAGTCGTGAAAAACCTGATCTTTTTGTGTTTGTACAATATATGGTAATTTTATACAATAAATGGTTGTAATAGTCTTTCTCGATTAGTATAACAATTTGGTCTAAAAAGCATTGACACAAGATAACCTAACCAATACATGGAAATGCATAGGTAGCCGAAATGTAAACGGTCCAATATAGCCTAACTTAAACGTGTAAAAAATGAAAGACCAACTGAAGCGTTAACACTGTAGTGACGGCCCTAATGACTGCAAAAGTCATCATTCAATTTATCCAGAGGTGATACATTGAAGAAAAGTTTTACGCCTAATCTAACAAGTCCCTGTTGGTAGTTATGAATTTGTAATTTAGTAGAGACCGAAAGACATAAGAAAAAAAAATTTAATTTACAATACTTGCAAATACATTAAATGGTCCCAGATGACTACCCTGTGGTACGCCAGATGATACGTTGAATTCATTCGACTCGCTGCTCCCATACTTAACGAATTGAGTCCGGTTTGACAGGTATGATTCGATCCAAGCAAGAAGATTTTCTGGCAGGTTGAACGATCTGAGTTTCAGAATCAATCTCTTGTGGTTTACTCTGTCAAACGCTTTACTGAAGTCCGTGTAGAGAACGTCTACTTGCGCACCAGAATTTATGCCTCTCTGGGCATAGTAGATGAATTCGGTGAGATTAGATGCAGTAGATCTGGACTTCATGAAGCCGTGTTGCTTCTTGGTGATTTTGTCCTGTACCAGAGACAGAAGTTTGACGTTCCCCAAATGCTCGAAGAACTTCGCCACAGTTTGGAGCTTAGCTATGCAACGTTAGTTCTCTATCTTCGATCTGGCCCCCTTTTTGAAAATGGGGGATACACTCGAGCGTTTCCATTTGTCAGGGAAATGGCCATGTGACAATGATTCGTTGAAGATCTCGGTGAGTGGAGCCGCCAAATGACTCGCACAATATGACCATCATCGCCAACATTATTCGAGTGTTCAACATCATCCGACGAAAGTGGATGTTCCTTCGGAATGTAATTCTATCCGATAACGATTTTGCTGCTAGAGGCGAACCGTTGTCAATGAGTTAATTTGCTTGTTGTAGCTGTTGCAAAACAGCTGGTTCTTTTGATTTTACAACATTTTCCACGATAATGTCATGTCAACGATAGAAATTATAGCGATTCTAATGATATCTGAGGTTTTAGAGTTTAGACAGACAGTTAAATGATGTGGTTTTAAGAGAAAAAGCCATTTCAATTGGTTTTATTACTATCTACAGTCATGGAAATTTAATTAGGACCGGCATTGAAATTTCAGTTTTTTCCAATTAATTCTGTTATTTTACAAAAAAATATCCATGAAATGATGTTTATGAGAATATTTGAAGTTTTTATAAATGGACTAGACTATCAATTTCATTATTTTCGGTAATGGATATCATTTATTGATGAAATTGCCCAAAAACTGAGGGAAAAATAATTAAGAGCTTCCATACAAAAAATGACAAAATTTTTCGAAAAATCAGAAAATTCATCATTTGTTTGACAAAATTCACTCCACCGATGGTCGTATTTAATTGAAATACATTTTTTCCACATTACCATTTAATAGATTTCAAATTTCTTAACAAATTCGAAAAGTTACAGACCAAACTATGATTCTTCCACGATTTTTCATACAAAAAATGCTATAAAGTTTAGTTTGGTGTGTAACTTTTCGAATTTGTTACGAAATTTGAAATCTATTAAATGGTAATGTGGAAAAAATGTATTTCAATTAAATACGACCATCGGTGGAGTCAATTTTGTCAAACAAATGATAAATTTTCCGATTTTTCGAAAAATGTTGTCATTTTTTGTATGGAAGGTCTTAATTATTTTTCCCGCAGTTTTTGGGAAATTTCATCAATAAATGATATCCATTACCAAAAATAATGAAATTGATAGTCTAGTCCATTTATAAAAACTTCAAATATTCTCATAAACATCATTTCATGAATATTTTTTTGTAAAATAACAGAATTAATGGGAAAAAACTAAAATTTCAATGCCGGTCCTAATTAAATTTCCATGACTGTAGGTGCATTTCTCACACAAACAATTTGAGCAAATGTGCAAAAATGTCTATTATTTCTTTTTTTTTATTGAAATTGTAAGAAAATGTACTGAAATGACGATATTGCTTGAATAAAAGTGTTCTGGAAGTGGGTTTTAGTGGATCTCAAGGTTCGTTCAGAACTGCTCCCGATTCTGGAAGTGGGTTTTGGTGGATCCTCAGGATGGACCAGATCCGGTTTGACAATGCCCTGGCCCATCCTGAAGATCCACTTCCAGAACCGGGAGCAGTTCTGAACAATCCTTGAGATCCACCAAAACCCACTTCCAGAACACAAGTTCAGTGTAAATGAACATTTATTTACACGAATTGATAAAAATTGATCGAATCGGACCGAATGGAAGAAATTTTTCAAAATTTATAAGAATTCATTCATTCTTTTCGTGAGAAATGCCCCTAGATTACTATTTATTGGAGAATATAACTTGGAGGATCGAACACGGCTTCTTGAGAACATTGTTATTCATATGTTATTTTAATTAAATTGAATCCTATCATCCATACCATACAAAAAAAATAATATCTGTGTGAGGGTTTCAATTAAAACTAAATTCAAAAGTTGTAAAACGAATTACATACG